TCTGCATCACGCTCATGAAGAAGATCTGCCGCAAGAACGGCCTCTCGCGCTGGCCGCACCGGCGCATCCGGAGCCTCGTGAACCGCATCACGTCCCTGCAGGCCGTCGGCGACACGCTGGTCGAGAAGGTCGAGAAGGCGCGGTTCGTCGCGCACATTGCAAGTCTCCGGCGCGAGCTCTCGGACGTGATCCACAACCCGAACGGGAAGAGCCGCAAGGCGCAAGAGTACGAGCGACGCAAAGATAGCAACCCCGGCGACTCGATGAGCGACGACACGACGCTCAGCGACGACGGCAGCAAACACGGCGAGATGGACTTGAGCTGCTTTGAAGTGCTGCGCGAGGAAAAGGCGCGCGGGTCCATCTCGTCGCTTCTGTGCGACTAGCGACTCTGATTGTAATTCTTATTGTGGTTGCACACTACGTGTGGCGCGTCTATATAGGAGGAGAGGATGCAGTCGAGAGGCATGTCGTCGTACGCATCGACTTAAGGGCGCGCGCCGTTGATCTCTTCGTGGAAGAGGTCGAGACCGACGAGCAGCGCCGCGTACATGGCGTTGGTTCGCATGACGGGGTGGCGGATGAAGGGCGCGCCCGAGAGGAGCGCTGCGACGCCCACATTCGCAAAGTCCTCGGCGCCACGCAGCTGCTCCATCGTATTCTTGATGCCTTGGTATGAAAAGAAGAAGCTACAGGGGCCCATGAGCCATAGAATATGAGGATGCACCAAGGTCGTACCCGGAGAAGAGCATGCCACAGATGCCAGCCGTGCGCGAGATCGACCGCATGGCCTGTGCATTGATGCGCCCGTATTGCGTATGGGCCTGGCGCACTGCGTCGACTACAAAAGGTAGTACCCATGAGCTACGTCTCGTCCAGAGCTGGCGACGCACCGCTGCCAAAGGTGAGACCGGTCGAGAGGCCGACGAGGCCGCCAAAGACGAGCTTGTGGCGAAGCGTCGTATAGTCAAAGGGCTTGGCCGGCGGAGCGGCAGCAGCGTCCGCTGTCTTCTTTGCCGGCGCCGCGCTCTCTTCGTACGACGACCAACTGCGACCCATGTCTGTCTTCGAATGGCATTCGCGGCCTTTCTAGACGCACCCGTAATCGTGTATTGCTTGCCGACATTCAGTTTCCAGTATTGCGTAAGCCGGCACTTGTACGATCGTTAGTTAACATGTTATTTAACATGTCATCACGCCACGCCGCAGCTCGTTGCGGCAACCCAGCGCGAACCAGCCAGCCAGCCCCTGCGCAACACTTCGTTCCGCGTTGTCTTCATCCTCGGGCCTGATGCCTGATAGCTCGGAGGCTAATTCCTACCAGCACTGCTGGACTTGGTCGATTCCAGTCTCTGAGATCTGCTCAGCGACGGCGAGGTAACAACGCCACATAGGTAGAGGTACAAGTCTCAAGCTTTTGAAGAACAGAGAATGCATTTGGATGAGCGCGTCTGAGGTCAGCGGCTCTTAGTTGCTCATGTACTTCTTGTTGTCCAAGAAGCCTTGGATGGAGGCCTTCCCGAGCGGGCTCGTCTTGCAGTACGCTTGCAGACGCTTCATCATGGGTGTGTCAATCTCCTACACATGGCCATGCGCTTCATTGCCTACAAAATGGCAGCACACGAACCGGCGGCACGACGTCCTTGCCCGAGATAAAGTTGAAAATGTCGATCGTCTCGCGGTTCAAGATGTCTTCGTACTGACGGAGCTCGTCGGCAGTCAGCGACATGACATTCTCGCTCGCCCAGCGGCCAAGGAGCAAGTCCACTTCCAGCCTAACGCTAGGTCAGCGGGCAGGTATGTGATTTTGGGCGAGTACCAGCCGCGCTGCTTGCTGCGGTAGATGACGCGCTTGCGGTTGGCCTTGTCGGCGTCAATGGCCTCTTCGCCTTGGCTAGTGCACGTGCATGAGTACGAAATGCCTGCTAGCTGTCTCGGCCACGCAGCGTACCTCGCATCCGGGTACTCGGCCTTCATGGCAAAGTGGTCCTTGCGCATCTGCTCATTGCGCACCTGGGCGCGGAGCTCCTGCGCCTCCGTGATGCTGAGCGGCGGGAGGTTGGCGTGGAACGAGGAGTGTTCCGTCGAGAAGGCGCGGGCGGCCATGCGCGGCGCGGCGCGGGCGTAGAGGATCGAGGCGCGTGCAAGCATGATGGTTTCTGAAGGTCTGCGAAGTTCACCGGTTGGACTTCGCCACTGGCCGCACTCCTCGGCTCTGGATTGGCCAAAATGATTTGCGGCATTGGATTGGTCGAAATCCCACACGCCAAAACGATGACCAAGTCGCCGCGACGCATGACCAAGGCCTTCGGCCACATGATGGCTACGTGCCCCATGGACGTACGTCGTCGTGATGGAGGCAATGGACATGGCGATGCTAGTGGTAATCGTAGGTCCAAGCCTATGGCGCCTGCGTGGCCAAGATCGAAGGCGGTGTCAACCGTGACGCGTGCGCCAAGGAGTTCGCCAAGCTCAAGCTCTGCTTCGAGCATGCGGTAGGCGTGGAGCTGTAAATCAGAGTATTATATCTCGCATCTGTACATATGTAGGTCAAGGCCGCCAAGTAGATATCCAGCAGCGATGCTCGCAGCTGAAGAGACTCAAAGCCATGGACGTTTTGGGGTAATCTTGCAACGAGCTCGAGTCTCGATTGCTTAGTTTCTTATTGCCTTCCTTGTCTTCGCATCGGTTGCTACTCCTCCCGATGCTGTAAAGCTCACTTCAACCACAGGAGCGACAGGGCGTGAGCATAATGCCTTTGCGCGCGTTCGCTTTTCCCACATTTGGAGAACGAGATGGAGACGGCATTTGCCAACGAAAGCTCTGGCCAGCAGCATGCTCAACAGCGCTCCCCACTACGTACACCACCACGCCTACGCACCTCTCATGCCGCCGCCGTCGCGCCCGACGATGGCGATGGTCGTGGTTCGCATGGCGCATGGCAACGATCCACTTGCTCTCGACCGTCGCTTCGCCGCGCTGGAGGCCAGTCTGAGTCGCGTCGAGGTCCAGCTGAGCGCTGCCAGCGCACTGCAGTCGGTGCAAACGCAAGCACAAATCGCCCGTGTGCACAACACCCACTGCGCGATGGGCGATGCGCTGCTGCCGGTGCCCAAGACCGAGGCAGGCCATGCGCGACCCGTGTTTGTTGCAAGCAGCGTCGCGGGTCCGCTGCCTCGTCCAGTGGGGAGCACACCGCGTCAGTTCCCAACGACGCGAACGCAGCTCTTGGATCTCTCGCTCCGAGACCTCAAGAAGCTGGCATGGTTTTACAGCTCCAGCTTTGGCGTCCACGACCCGAGCGCGACTCGGCACGAGATCATGCTCGGCTTTCTGAACTTCGTGCAGCTATCTTAATCCTCTTCCTAAAATTGAACTAACGTTTATAGCACGTACTCGTGTGTCCAGTCGTGGCTACTAGTATATCACTAGCCGAATTGATACTTGTCCACAATACGCTGCTTCTAACCTAGCAGTAGGCATGGCAAGCGAGAGATTTTGTATCGAGGTAGAACGGTAGGATCTCAACAACATACATGTATGTACACCATATTCTCATCGACTCTCTCTGCAGTCCATGCGTTAAAGTGCCTTTTTGGGGCTAGAGAGCTAGAGAGCGCTACCGCACTTTTGGACCCTTGGTTTGATTGTCGATATATGGAACCATGGTGAGCATATTTACCCTGTTGGTCTAATGTAACCGCGCTCGACGTAGGATAAAAGAATACGAATGTAGTTTCTCGCATGCCTTGGTGGCCACAGCACTACAAGGCAGCGATGGCCGAGCTCGAGGCGGTGAACAGAACGGTGCATTAGCTGGGCGGCGAGATCGCGTAGAGAAGAACATTGGTGACCACCAAGATCGCAATGACACCATAGTACCAGCACACCTACGGCACCCCATAGTGATGCATCTCTCTATCTGGTGGAGCTCCATACCTTTTTGCGCTGGGCGTTGACGTACGCGGCCTTCTCTGCTTGGATGCGCAACTCGTCGGCGCCGGCCTCGACATCGCGGTTGAGGTTGTCGAGCATCGGGTTCTGAATCTGAACTTCGTTGTGGATGTCGCGGGCGTGCGTGTGCAGCGACCGGGCGCCCGCATAGACGACGTCGAGGTCAGCCTCTTGGTGCTCGAGGTCGTACCGGCGGTACGCTGTTGTCGTCGTCGTCGATGCCATGTTCAGCACTGAAAAACACTCGTCGCTTGTGAGACACCCCGCGTGTGACACAATATGCGTTAAAGGGTATGGACACGGCCTTTTGGCACGTTAAATTACACTTGATGGGTTTAACGCGGACGTAAAAGAGTAAAACGCCGACAAGCCTGCTGCTCGGGTCCCGCCAAATCGGAATGTAGGTCTGTGGTGTCTACCAACGTCGCAGCGCAGTCTGCTCCGGCCTGGAGTGGCTGCCTGGAGTGGCTGGCTGCCTGGAGCGCATCATGAGCACACGCTAATGTTGCCGCAAGGGCGTGAGATCGTACTATCAAAGGACCTACCATTCAATCGTAAAAGACCTGGCTGTTTCGACGACACCACACGAATGCTTCGTCTTTGCCGTGGCGCCACAAGGTGCTGAGCGGCCACTGCGATTGCGCACCAGCGTTAACGCTAGGGCTGTTAGTTTGATTCGTTTCTCAAAGCCTGGAAGCAGTTAGCGGAACAGATCTTGCAAGGGTACACTTCACTCTATCTCGAGAGATCCGAGATGATGATGATGGGCATGCATCGACTTCACGAGACGCACCTCCGGTACGACATGTCTGAAGGCGAATCCAGTACCATAGAGTGCCATAGATGTGGCAAGCATCTTTGCGCTTGTGGAACTCTTGCTTTCTACTCCAAAAGGTTTTAAAATACCCGAAAAACATCATATTCCAGCATAATATTTGCATCGTGAAGACAAGTCTTGAGACAGAATCAGCACACAAGACCATGACACAAGACAATCAGGCCAAGAAGCATGTCCGCGAACATGGCTGGAGAGCTTTCGTATCTTCATTACAAGGCGCCGTGATGTAGATGAAGACGACAAGAGTGGTGATGGAGGTGCATTGGTGGTAGTATATAGGAAGGATCGATCTGTCAGACGCTAGGAACGTGTCGTTGACGTCGTTTACAGCGGCCTACGATTGTCATGAGCGCGGGCAAAGCTATCTCTAGCGACGTACACTGCATATAAGACGATGAGGATCACGATCAGGATCGCAATGATGCCATAGTACCAGCACATCTACACCAGAGGCGCCATAAAGCCTCGAACACAGGCGACTTGATGTACCTTCTTCTTTTGGGCGTTGATAAGCGCGGCCTTCTCTGCCTGGAAGCGCAGCTCGGCCGCGCCCGCGTCGACGTCGTCGCCGAGGTTGTCGATGAGGTGGTTCTGCGAGATGACTTCGCCGTTGATGGCCTTGGCATGGTTGTTGAGATGGCGCGCGCCGACGAGGACCTCGTCGAGGTCGGCGTCCTGCTGCTCGCGGTTGTAGCGCTGCTGCTGCTGGAAGCCGTTCATGCTGTGCCAGGAAAGACCGAATTGGTTGCCCACATCGGAACTGACGATTTATTGTCAAATTCGATATTTACGCCACATATTTTGCTATCGATTGCAACAGGTATTAAGTTTAAGGAGTATACACACACTAAAAACAAGTCATTTGCTGGCCGATCGTCCTGGCGCCAGCAATATATGCATATATACAGGTTACGGGATAAGAATGCTTGTACTTGAGATCCACCTCGTCCTTAGCTCGAGTGCCATGCCACAGCGAGAGCACGATATATCCTAGAGAGGCGATATAGCATGCATCTCTAGGGCAGTCATATCCATAGCTGGCGAGTGCGTCCTCAGTTGTCGGACAAAGCTTCAAGATACGGCATCTAAGTGCACGCAATTATGCACGGGCTGGGACAGTGTCAAGCTGGGACCACTCGCCGGAAGTACACCACAAGCTCGTGCGTTGCAATACTACATTCTATTGTAGGACGACACAGGCATTGTGGGGCTGATTGCGCGATGAGGCAGCAGAATGGCGGCGTTGAACCTGACATTGCAGTGTTAAGTTGCGTGATTTTCGCCACTCGTTTCATGCCATCGGTCAGTTCGGTCTGGAAGAATGTATGTGACACCGTGCAAAAGCGATTGAAGGCCCTCATGCCGAGCCCGAAGGCGACCGTCGAAGCTGTCTTCGACGACCTCGCGCTCTCGAACCCGTCGTTCCCGCTCGAGTCGGACGCGGTCTCGGTGCTCACGTCGCCCGATGCGTTCTACCAGCAGCTGCTCACCAACATCCGCGCAGCGCGGCGCCGCATCAGCCTCTCGTCGCTCTACATTGGCACGGACGAGCTCAGCCGCGCGCTCGTCGCAACGCTGCAAGAAGCCGTGGCTGCCAACCCAAGCCTTGAAGTGTCCATCGTGCTCGACTACTCGCGTGGGCAGCG